ATCACTTGAAACAGCTGTCCAGCCACACTCAGCCTAAGTCAGCCAAAACACAGGCAACCTAAAGATCCATAAGCATGAGAACAAAGTTAAGTTTATAGAGTTTTAGAGGTAATTTGTATCACCATATTATGGCAATAGCTGACTGACATATTATCATAACTGGCTCATACCTGAAAATATACTAATGCCTTCTTACTGGTTCAAAGGTATTTTGTTTTAACCACAAGTTGACTTATTTAAAAAACCGTAGATTTTTGTTGAGAACCCAACATGAATGATGCACATTTGTCTATTTAAGAACATATAGCCTCGATTTATGAGAGAAATACAAATCAAAACTATATTAAGTATCACCTCACATGAGTCCAAATACCACCAATAACAAGTCTACAATAACAAAAGCTTGAGAGGATGTGGAAAAAAGGGAAACCTCCTACACTGCTGGTGGGAATGTAAATTGGTACAGCCACTATGCAGAATAGTATGGAGGTTCCTTATAAAGCTAAAAATATAACTACCATATGATCCAGAAATCCCACTCCTAGGCATATATCCAGAAAAAAGCTCTAATTCAAAAATATGCATGCATCTCAATGTTCACAGAAACACTCTTTACAATAGCCAAGACATGGAAACAATCTAAATGTTCATCAACAGGTGAACAGATAAAGAAAATGTGGTATATATACACAATGGAATACTACTCAGCTATAAAAAGGAATGAAATAATATCATTTGTAGAACATGGCTGGACCTAGAGATTGGCATATTAAGTGAAATATGTTATACAGAGAAAGACGAATATATGATATTACTTATATCTGGAATCTAAAATATGACATAAATAAAATAAGCTTACTTACAAAGCAGAAACAGACTCACAGACATAGAAAACAAATTTATGGTCACCAAAGGGCAAAGAGGGTTAGGGGAGGATAAATTAGGAGTTTTGGATTAGCAGATACAAACTACTACATATAAAACAGATAAACAACAAGGTCAGAATGTATAGCACAGAGAAATATATTCAACATACTATAGTAAACCATTATGGAAAGGAATATGAAAAAGAATACATATATATATATATATGTGTGTGTGTGTGTGTGTGTGTATAACTTAATTATTTGCTGTACATCAGAAACTAGCACAACATTGTAAATCAACTCTATACTAATTTGAAAAAAGAACATATAGCTTCTAATAGATAAGGATTCAAGAATCTACCAATATATGGGCTTGGTGGGAGATAAATTCCTGACTACCACTACCACTCCAAGAAATGGAGCCCAAACTGCAGCTATTTATATTTCTTAACCCCTAGCAATTAGAACCTAGTTATATGACTGAAGCATGCCTTATTATAAAAGTTGGCAATTTATGGCCCTCCAGCAAAATTTGACCTACTGCCTGTCTTTATAAATAAAGTTTTACTAGAATAAACCATGCTCATTTGTATATGTATTGTCTAGGGTTTCTTTCACCCTTCAACAGCAGACTTGAGTAGTTACAACAGAAATTATATGACCTGCAAACACTAAAATATTCACTAATTGGCCCTTCAGAGGAGAAAAAAAAAAAACAACTGCTTTATCTGGCAATTCTGTAAGCAGGGGAATACATGTTAATCCATGGCTGATTCATGTCAATGTATGACAAAAACCACTACAAAATTGTAAAGTAATTAGCCTCCAACTAACAAAAATAAATGAAAAAAAATAAAATTAGTGACACAAAAATAAGTAATAATTTTGATACTTTTGGGAAGTGATAGTTGCAACTGCTATAGAGGGGCAATGGTATCTCTGGTGTACCAGTGGACTATGGCTATGATAACAGTTTATGATTCAGATGTGTCTTGTAGTTTGATGCTTGGTGTGTTTCTGGGTACGTGTATCAGGCTTCCTTGACAATTTCTGCCCACATTTACATCTGGATCCAAGGCCTTTCCATCGATTCTATGAGTTACCTGATACTCTTCTAATTATATAATTCTACCTAAGGCAATCGGAGTTTCTTTCTGTTAGTTGTAACTCAGAACCTTGAATGGTCCATTGACCTTGCTTTATTCCTGACTCAGAGTAAGATGTTCCTTTTCCACTCCCCAGGGATCTTGTTCTAACCCTCCAGCATTGCTTGTATCTATCAACCTGTAATTTATTGGCTGTTTGTCCATTTTCTCTCTAGCACTGGGAGGTTCTTCAAATCAGGGACTGAATTTAAATCAGCTCTCTATGGTGCTCAGGAAAATGCGAGAGCATATAAGAAAGAATTAACAGGCATGAAAACTGTCAGAGCCAGGAGACCATTATGTTTATCATCAAAATTGCCGAGCTTGACTGAGTCATTATAAAAAGCAATACACTAAACACTCGACATACACTGTATCATTTAATCCTCATAACAACTCTATGACTTAGTAAATATTTTTGTCCCATTTTATAGATAAAGGAATTGTGGAGGATAAAGGTTAGGGAGCTTGCTCAAGGACATAGAGCTAGTCAGCAGCAAAGCCAGGATATCAAAGCAAGTTGAACTCTAGGGTCTGTACTCACACACAATAACTTAAAACAGTTTTACCCAAGACTAGACTACAGTCACATGAAATTTAGCAGCTCCTGACCAATTCCTAGAGAAGTCCAATTAGAGTAAAATGAGGCTACTTTTCCGGCATCTGGATAAGTAAAGAGTGAGGCTACTGGGGTTAGTGACACTCCATCATTTGCCAGACATAGGAAAGAGCCCACCCAGATCTGGGGTGAGAATTCAGCTTACTCTCTCTGTAGAATGGCATTAGAGGATCTGCGTCTTTTCAAGTCTATGGTTGAAGGTGAACTGAAAGGTAAAGAGCTGCATGACTGTCAGAAGGAAATACGTAGCTCAGTGACAAAAGATGACCAAAAGTGGGGGAGAAGACTCAGAAAGCAGAAAGTCTCACCTCAGTCTTCCTGCAAGAGTGGTCAGTGCCTACAGAAGCACGTAGCCACTGCCTATCCAAGAACCCTGAAAGTTCTTAGACGATAGTGTTGGTGGCCTGGATGGCTGGAAGAAAACCCTGAGAGAAGACAATAGAGACGCAAACATCCCCAACATGGAATGAGCACCCCAAAAGAGAGTGACGAAACTGACCTCATCGAGTAACTTGCAGAAGTTCATTTTGACTTAGTATGGGATACTGAGAGGTATATCATGATGGAATGATAAATTTGTCTTTTGCAGTATACACATAGGACTGCTGAGTTTCTTTCCCTTTATCAAGAATGGCTATGGATACCCTGGAACCAGCTGTTTTCCAGTAAGTTGAGATAAAACTATTAGACAGTCCAGGGGAAAATATTCTCAGGCTTCCTGGTGGGGGATTCAGTTCAGATACACTGAACATCCAATTCATGCTTAGTACTACTATCTTAGTCCTGAACATATCACATAAAATAAAGCATATATCTGTCCTTCAGGAGCTTGTGTAGGAGACATAAAAGTAAAAAAAGATGTTGCTCTATAGGAAATTCTAGGAAAAGGTCACTTTGGAGCAGGGGCACCCCAGGTGGTACTAGTGGTAAAGAACCTGCCTGTCAATGCAGGAGATGCAGAGACATGGGTTCGATCCCTGGGTTGGGAAGATCCCCTGGAGGAGGGCTTGGCAACCCACTCCAGTGTTCTTGCCTGGGAAATCCCATGGAGAGAGGCACCTGGCACGCTATAGTCCATGGGGTTGCAAAGAGTTGGACACAACTGAAGTGATTTAGCATGCACCTACTCTACAGGTAGCCACTGAGTCTGGCAACATTTGCAAATATATAAATTGTATGCTGATATTATATTATATTAATGTTAAAATGATATCTTAGTTTCTAAGATAAGCTAATATTTTTAGGGTTTTAAGAAGGAAATAACATTTGACATGAGACTTGAAGGCAGGTAGGCCAGAGGGGGCAGAAGACATTTGGAAATCTTTAAATCGAATACTGCTAGAGCAGAATTCAGAGGAGTTGTAGGCAAGCAGGAGTTGATACACAGTGAGGTTGACCACATGAGCAGGGATCATGTGAAAGCCTTTTGTTCCAAATTAATGAATCTAGACTTTATTCTAAAAGGAATGAGGTGATAGCACTTAAGTTCTTACATTTCAGAAAAACAATTCTGAATGAAAGATAATTGGGAGCAAAGAAGGCATCATCATTGGAAACACTGAGATTTATGCTAGAAGTATTGATTTAGGAATCTAATGTAGTAAATTAAGAACAAAAAAGGAAGTAAAAACATCAAGAAATGGACAGATCTGAGAGATATTAAGGAGATTCCTTGTAATTATTAAAAACGATTTTATTTCCTCCAAGAATAATGAAGAATACTGTCTTGAAACAACTCTTTGAAAGAAACTGCTTTAAGCCATTACAATTTTATTATGTTTCACCTAAAATTGGAAGAGGAAACAACACCTTCTTGTGGTCTGAGGCTAAGAAATCTATGTGTATTTTAAAACTTTGGTCAACAATTAGATATTTTAATTAAGGAAGCATGAAAAATTAATAATTTTAAATCAAGTTCTTTGAGACAAAAAAATAGGGAGACGTAAAATGTAAAAGGTCAACTTCGTGTTGCTAGCTTATATTTCCAATATATTAATGTAATTATATCAAACTATTATAAATCTATAGGATACAGAGTTGACCAAAAGTATACAAATTATACTGCACAATTATTTAAACCACCTCAATTCAATGACCAAATCGGTTTTGGCATGACCTGAAATTTTTGAGGATATTATAGTGTTCCAACATGATGCTAACTTTAGTTCTGAAAAATTTGTTGAATTCAGCTCATTAGTTTCAACTATATCACCATTTGTTCTGGTTCCACTTACCTTTCTCCAGTGATAGTGATACACCTCCCTCTCAACCTCCCTCTCTCTTTTTTCATGAAGAGCATGGACATGAACTCTAGAGTTCCTGGGAGATAGGTGTAATTGTTTCCTTTAGTAAAAGGAAAGTGGTACCTACCCTTGTCGGTCCTTGTACATTTTGTTCACTCTTTCCCATTGGAAGTCAAGCCTGGAGAGAGCTTCCTGTAGCCTTGCCTTTTCCGGGGGTGTGGAGCTTTGCAATGCTGCTGCCTTCTTATTATGAATGACATCAATCCGACCCGAGATTTGTTGCAGGTTGTCTTTTATATTCTGCAATATTGAAATTTTAAAGCAAGTCAGAAATGATTCAGTTGTCTATGAAAAGAGAAGAAAGGAAATGTATCAACACCCAGAGTAACTCACAGTCTTGCATTTTTCATTTCCTGACTTTTAAAAGTCATTAGGCTTGAAGCCCACTGATTTCAACATGCCCAATCTGAATGGGTAATTCAGTCTTCATCTTGATACTGGCAATCACTCCCTCTTTCCTAAAACTCTATCTTTGTTTGGCTTCTGTAACCTGAATTCTTCTGTTTTTTCTTACACCTTCTTGTCCACGGCTTCTCAGTCTCCTTTACAGAATCTTTCTACTCTTTTTTTTTCATTTAATTTTATTAGTTGGAGGCTAATTACTTTTTTCTACTCTTACTAATCTCTTAATATTGGAGTGCTCTAGCATAGATATTTCCTCATCTATCTATGTTACCTCCTGTTTGGTCGTGTGACTTTAAATAATCTCGATATTGCAATGCTCAAAATTCTCCAAGCTAGGTCTCAAATAGTACATGAACCAAAACCTCTCAGATATTCAAGATGGATTTAGAAAAGTCAGAGGAACCAGAGATCAGACTGTCAACATCCAATGGATCACAGAAAAAGCAAGAGGATTCCAGGAAAACATCTACTTCTGCTTCATTGACTACACTAAAGCCTTTGACTGTGTGGATCACAACAAACTGTGGAAAATTTTTAAAGAGATTGGAATATTGGACCACGTTATCTGACTCCTGCAAAACCTGTATGCAGGTCAAGAAGGCAATAGTTAGATACAGACATGAAACAACAGACTGGTTCCAACTTGGGAAAGGGGCATGTCAAGGCTGTATAGTGTCACCCTGTTATTTAAGTTATATGCAGAGTACATCATGCAAGATGCTGGGCTGGATGAAGCACCAGCTGGAATCAGGATGGCCAGGAGAAATATCAATAACCTCAGATATGCAGATAAAACCAATCTTATGGCAGAAAATGAAGAGGAACTAAAAAGCCTCTTGATGCTGGCTTAAAAGCCGACATTCAGAAAAGTAACAATATGGCATTTGGTCCCATCACTTCATGGCAAATAGATGGGGAAACAATGGAAACAGTGACAAACTTTATTTTCTTGGACTTCAAAATCACTACAGACAGTGACTGCATCCATGAAATTAAAGGGTGGGATGGGGAAGGAGATGGGAGGGAGGTTCAAAAGGGAGGCGATATATGTATACCTATGGCTGATTCTTGTTGAGGTTTGATAGAAAACAACAAAATTCTGTATAGCAATTATCCTTCAATTAAAAAAATTAATTAAATTTTAAAAAGACCCCTGCTCCTTGGAAGGAAAGCTATGACAAACCTAGACAGCATATTAAAAAGTAGACACATTACTTTGCTGAAAAAGGTCTGTATAGTCAAAGCTATGGATTTTCCAGTAGTCATGTATGGATGTGAGAGTTGGAGCATAAAGAAGGCTGAGCACTGAAGAACTGATATTTTTGAACTGTGGTGTTGGAGAAGACTCTTGAGAGTCCCTTGGACTGCAAGGACATCAAACCAGTTAATCCTAAATGAAATCAACCCTGAATCTTCATTGGAAGGACTGATGCTGAAGCTGAAGCTCCAGTCCTTGGGCCACCTGATGTGAAGAGCTGACTCACTGGAAATGACCCTGATGCTGGGGAAGATTGAAGGCAGATGGAGAAGGGGACAACAGAGGACGAAATGGTTGGATGGCATCACCGACTCAATGGACATGGGTTTGAGTAAGCTCCAGGAGATGGTGATGGACAGGGAGGCCTGGCGTGCTGCAGTCAATGGGGTTGCAAAGAGTCAGGCATGACTGAGTAACTGAACAATAAACGTGACAATGACTCCCCAACTTACATCTCCAGCCATGACCTCAACTCTGAAATCCATACTCATACTTCCAACAACTTTCTTGAGGCTTGGATGTCTCAGGAGCATCTCAAACTTAACATAGCCCCAACCACATTCTGAACAGCATCCCCTTATCCTTCTCTTCCCATTATTTTCCTCATTTCAGTAAATGACATATCAATTAACAGTTATTCAGGTTAACAACCTTGGAATCCTTGATCCTTCTTTTTTAATCTCTATATTCATATTACTGGATGATGCTATAGACTCTACTTTCAAGAACACGTCCAGAATTTGACATCTTCTCATCATCTCCCTTGTTATAAGTCTGATATAAGCTACCCTTGTCTCTCACCTGGATTACTCCAATTCCTACCTAAATGACCCTCCTCATCAATTCTTGACCCTTTTCCATCAATTCTCCACACAATAGCCAAAGAAATTTGTATGAAACACAAATCAAATCATATTACTTCATTTCTCAAATGCTCCTTATCAAATTTATTGTTTGTCCACGAGGCACAACTTGTGGGATGTTGGTTCCCTGAAAAGGGATTAAACTCGGGCCCCAGAGGTGAAAGTACCGAGTCCTAGGCACTGGACCAGGGAAGTCCCAAACCCAGAGTCTTCATCAGGGCCTACGAAGTTCTGCACAACTTGGTTGTATGCTGCCTGCCATTCCAGTCTTACTTTTTCCTTAGTCTCCTCCAGAAAGTGAAAGTCGCTCAGTCATGTCCGACTCTTTGTGACCACATGGACTATACAGTCCTTGGAATTCTCCAGGCCAGAATACTGGAGTGGGTAGCCTTTCCCTTCTCCAGGGGATCGCCCCAACCCAGGGATCGAATCCAGGTCTCCCGCATTTCAGGCGGATTCTTTACCAGCTGAGCCCCAAGGGAAGCCCTCGTCCAGGTGCACACCATTTCAGCCTCATTTGCCTCTTTGTGTTCCTCAAATAGGCTGAATGTACTCTTGCTTTGAGGTTTCCGCATTTGCTGTTCTTTCCGCCAAAAATACTTCTCCCCTCCAAGAAACTTAAATGACTGTTTTCCTTACTTCTTTTTCATATCAGAAGAGCCTTCTCTACCTTTCCATTTTAAGTAGCAGTCCTGAGTGCTCTGTTTCCCTTATTTGTTCATTTTCCTTCATGGCCTTTATGACTGAATGAGATTACCTAGCTACTCGTTTCTCTGTATCACTAGACTAGACCCTATGAGGCAGGGTTTCCAGAGCTCAGACACATGCCTGGCACATTGTATGTACCCAGTGCATTTGTGTTGAATAAGTTCAAGTATCACAAAAATCAACTCCATAATTTTTAAACATAGGTTATATTTAAGGGGAAAAAAACACAATGTTATTATATAATAATTTTTAAAAAGTATATCAGTGTTCAAAAAATGCCAAAATCTTCCATATTTGTCTAGACTTGCAAGTATGAATCTGGTTATTTTCCTTACCTGAATTGTCAAAAACAAGTCAATTGAGTAAATATTTATTGAGTTCTTTTATGTATAGGGATCAATATGGAGAAAGCAAAGGTAGGTTTTACTTGTTTTGAGTAAGTTTTGAATTGATCTTATTGAGGTGGTAAGCGAGGGTGTGGTTTGGAAAACTGAAGGAAACAGTTACAGTGTAGAAATCCCCGCTAAATGTTCAGAAATTATTTGATGAGTGATCTAAATGGTACCAAATGTTTTTTCAAAGCTCAGAAAAGGAATGAATTATATATGTGGTCACAAGCCAAGGAAAGGGCTCATAAAGGAAGTAGGATTTGGGGTAGATATACATAGCTGAGTAGCTGAAGTGGGAAGGATGTCATACTTAGTAGCTAATACACACGCAAAGACAGGAAACATGAGCAGTCATATCTGACTTTTCAGAAACGTATAGGATCAAGGAAGATGGGTCCAGAAATAGCAGCTGGAGATGGTTAATAATGTGCTTTAAAAATATTGCATGTAATTCAGTAGACAGTGAGGAACCATCTCACAAACACACACACACATACGTGAATTTCAAATATATACAAAAGCAGAAAAGAAAAAAAAAAAAAAGAAAACAGTACAAATAGCCCCTATGAATCGATCACCCACTGCCAACACTTATAAAACCATGGGCAACACTGTTTCACTGTATATGTCCACTCATTCACCTCCTCAAACATATTATTTTGAACAAATTGATATGTTATTTTATACACTTATCCAAAAAATCTTCACCATGTTTCCAATATCCATGAATTCTTTTCAAGGAAAGCACACATAGCACTGTATTCTATACCTCAAAACTTAAAATGTTATTAATGTAATCAAAGATCTAGTTAGCCTTCATATTTGAGTTGAATTGAGAAAGTTATTTAGGAAGGAAACTTGGCAGAAGTCAGTGACTGTATTGAGTGAAGAGGAAGAATGACTCTAGCTCCCAGGTTTCTGGCCTGAGCACCAGAATGCATACTGGTATCCGAGTAAGAGGACTGCAGATGGATGAACAGGTTCTGTGTGTACATGCTTGTGTGTGTATATGATGACAATGAAAAGCCGTTGGGTCATCAGGCTACAGGTATTCAATAGGCAGCTGGCATCAGATTTTGAGAAGAGGAAATGAGATGATAAATACAGTTGGGTCATATATCTTCTCCCATTTCCACAGGTTCTAGGCTTTCTGAGCAAAGAACACTGGCATCTGGAATAAAGGATCATTGAATAGCAAATATACCTTGGAGCTGAGATTAGTATATTATTCCAGGGAGACCCAGAAGCTTCATTGAATTCCTTTGCTTACATTCCAATCTACCTTCTGAGGATGACAGACAGAGACCTGCTCCCCTCTCTGAAGAGGAAAGCAAAGGTCTCTCTCTGTTTCTCTATCTTCACCCCCTCTCTCCCTTCTGACACCCAAGTCCCTCCATACCTCTCTTTCTGTCTCTATCAGACATGCCAACTCCCTTATATAAGCTCTGACGTTTCTGATACTGGGTTTTGTCTCTTGTACTGTAACCCATAGATGTACAGGTAAACATCTGGCCCTCACCTCACGTCTCATGGGCATTTGGGGCATGAAGATGAGTGCTAAGATGCTCTTGAGTAATCACTTGTGTGTTCTCTGATTCAGAGATCACATGCTTTCTG